AATTGAAGCAGGTGCTGCGCTGTAATAACTCTGGTGAGGCCAGGAGGACTATTAGTCTGGGGACTGCTGTTAAACAATGAGGATTGGGCGCGAACCTGCACCTCCGACGATGACGCGGAAGCTGGCTGCGTTCTCTGCTGGCACCGGGCGTGTGGAGAAGTGAGAACGTACGGTCAACCTTGCAAATACGAGTGCATCGAGTTGGATGAACTTGGTCGTATATATCTCAGCGGCTCGTCCTTGGATCACCTATTTGAAGTAAGAGGACCTTTGGTACTTGCTGCCCCTGGCACTTAGGACACACTCCTGGGTCACGGACCCCAGGCGCTCACCAATGGCCTAGGTACGTAAGCATCCTGGGAATAGGCGTATCAGCTTAGGGTACGCCCACGTTCTCAGATGCTGTGTGTTTGGGCCGGGTAAGCAACATTCTCACTCGATACATCAAAATGAAGAGCTGAGCTGAGCTTGTATGAGAGAGCCCCTGTATTTAGATAATAAAACTACCTAGGTATCAACATTCAGTGAGTGACCTATTTTGTATAAGCACTTAAGTACATATCATTGCCTTATATACCATCGCTTGGTACTTTACACCTAGTATACGGCGCTCTAAGTTGGACACTATTGCAAAATCCATTTTTGAACCAATTTTTAATTAGCTGACCCCATGGGTGAAGATAAAACCTTTATAACCAGGATAAGGAAGGTACATTTAGATAGCTTTTTCTTTATCTTTTTTAGCTGCTAGCCCCCCTTAGCAGCTACACTTTCTTTATTAGCCACTTTAATTATTATCGATGCTAATTATATTAGTTATTATTAGTTATTATTAATTATAATTAATTATATTAATTATTATTTTTATTAGTTATATTAATTATTATTTTTATTAATTATATTAATAATTATTATTTTTAACCCTTTTTTTTTATAAATAACGTGTTATAAAATTAATTTAATAATTTTCTTATTAATAAAAATATTAAAAAAATAAAAGAAAAAAAGCTAAAAAATAAAAAGGCTAAATTATATTTATAATAAAATAATTATAATATAAAATTAAAATAATTATATAAATTATATATTATTTTATTTTTTCCCCTCCTTTTTTTAAAAAAAATTAAAAGGCAGCTTTTTAATTAAAAAAACGGTTTATATTTTTTATTTTTTATTATTAACACTTTAAAAAGATAAAATTATTTATATATATATAATTATCGTTTTAAAAGATGATATATTTAGCTTTATTAAATAAATATTCATTTAATAAAGAGTATATATTTAACCTGGATCGTTTTTTCTAGCCTACCCCTTGCACACCCCCCTAAAAATGGATTTTGCAACAGTGTCCAACCTAGAGCCCCCTACTAGTACCTAGTCCACGGTTTCACCCGGTGTTCCGTTCAAGAGTTCTGGGAATTGAGCCCAATCGACCATGTTGAGCATGTCCTCAATCCCTGGATCAGGCCCAGGGGCAGTGAGAGGCAAGGCTGTCCTGCACATGTTGATGACCGTATCTACGAGAGTCGAGTATGCCTCTCGTCCAATGCGAAACTGATCTTTATGCTCAATTCGGCCTGCTGCAACCTCAGCTTGTGCCTGGTCATCGAAAGCCAAGCACAAGGCAGTGCGAATGTAATCCAAGCCGTTTGTCACCGCATAAGGACTGTCGGCGTTCGAGTTGGTGAGATCTTATACAGTTAGTGTGCCGATAACTTGATCAGTCGGGCCAACCAACTCACATGGACTTTGTGGATTGAATAACGGATATCGGTCTGGTGGTAAAATCAAGTTCCTGGCTTTGAACCACCTTTCTTCTGAATTGCCATCATTTGGGCGCAGCAACTTTGCTACCTCACTGAAGACATCACCATCAATCGATTCAACATGGATGACTTCGGTCGCGAGGTCCGGGCATTCAATGCCATTGTGTGCATTCTGGTGGGCTTGTAGAAGCTGGCGTGCTTCAACAATCGTGCTAGCCTCAAAGGTTTTCCAATAGCGCGTGCACTGCGGTCGTCGATGAACCTTTTCAAGATGTTCACTATACATTGTCAGCACTTTGAACCTGTCATCGAAATGGCAGATGTCCATCATTGTCTATCAGGTAGCTACCGGGGACATACAGCAGATGGCGAAGCTCCTTATACCCGGATCCTCCACATGTGTTGAATCTCCTAGCATCATCCGGATCTTCGATGAACCTCAGACTGAACTTAGCAGGCCAGAGCAAGTGGAAGAAGCAAGCAAATTGTGAAGCAAAGCCCACTCGTTTGACCTCACGTCGCTTGCGTTTCCCTGTGGCGGTGCTACTGTTCGAGCCTCCTAAGCGTCCTGAACGGCAATCCGGACCAGCTGCAGGCCTCGTAGTGGCGGTATCCATGCCATCGAGCACGAGGCTTTGAGAGATTCCTACCTCTCCTGGTCGGTAAACAGGATGGTACATGAAGGAATACAACTTGATACATCTCCCAAGAGTAGCAGCATCAAGGCTTACTGTGTTCTCAAGAACATGGGGATGGCACAAGGTGACTCTCGAACAAGAGCTCTCTGTATCGTCTGCTTCGGTAGGACATCGCGTTACCAGAGCACGGTTGCGGCTCGTGGGTGGTTTGCGGTGGGTGTCTTCCCAGTAGCAGAACTCGTGACTGAGATGTTGGTGGTCCCTGGTCAGTAATTATGCCATGCATACTGAGCGAGAAACCAAAATCACCCACATGCTACTGGAAGTAGTTGAACCAGAGGACGAGGAAAGAGTGTTGCCGCCCGGGACAACAGCTGTCGGCCTGATTGAGCGCAAGTAGGGGTCATTCTGGCGGGATCTCTAGAATTGGGCTCTCAGTTTATGACCGTAGTGAGAGACCGTGATGAGGAAAAGCAATAAAGTTGACATACTTTTAGGACCTGGGCACAATCCTTGACTGTCTCCAAGAAGCGACGGCCCATGACGAAGAAATGCTCCAGGTCGTCAAAATGGGTGCAGAAATACTCCATGGGTGTCAGCCCGCTATGGTGGTACTGGATTGGCGTAGGGTACAGCTGAAAAGACTCAAGGGACGAATGAAAACCATCATCTGGCAGTAGTTCGATGTCAGTGTCGGAGAAGGCGGACCCTGGGAGCGCCGTGGTACTGAAGTTTCGCGTAGGAAGCGCCATGATCTGCATTGTGAGCCCGGTGTGAAGATAATATTATTTTCGTTCTACGCCTGGCAATATGACCATGTAACAGAGACATGGAACGAGTTAACGCGGCATGTCGGTTTTTATGTTGATCCTAAGGGCCTCTGCGCCGTCAAGCGCCATCTGGGTTCAATGTGCTCTCTGCGTGGCCACGCACCGGTCACACTTCGGTTCAGTTCCCTGTTCTCCTTTTTATACCTGGGGCGCCTCGGGAGGCCTATACCCTGACTACGATACCCTACGACGTAATATTCCAGCTGTTATGGTACCAGTCGAGAGATATAGTCTAAGTAGAGATATGGCATGATAGGATATAGGAGGTCGAAATGAATGAAGTAACCATGGCATACCCCAAAGGCAAGACCCTGCAACCTGCTTGGGAGTTTCAGCTGCAGCTCTGGTGGAAGCAGCATCTCTCATGTTCAAATCCTGCCGGACCTGACTTGCTGACATGCGGCCAGTTGGATAGAGCCAGGGACCCGGAAATCCCACCGCTGCAACCGGAAGAATGCCGCAAGCGACGTTTCTCAATAATGTAAGTCTAATCCTTGTAACAACATCTTCTCAATTCGTAGATTTGATGCGTGGTGCACTAACACTTCCCATGTTCTCCAGTCTGGTCTCGGGCAGTGTAAGTATTCCATTCAGGGGAACGTACATCGCTACTGATCCATATGTCATTAAGGCGGTTCTTCTCATGTCCTCAACAATTCCAAAATTGGTCTTCCCACTGGTCATGCGGCATCTACGGTTCTGTTACGCAACCATGCCTACGGCGATTTCAGGGGCTCAAAGCTACTGTAAACCTTAAATAGATGTCGTTTCCTACTTACAGGCGTTCCAGATATAGAATACGTGTGGCTTCGGCTCTGACCTCACGTTTGGTCCCGATGGTCGTCCATAGGAGCTTTCCCGCCACGCCTTGTTGTCTCTTCTAAGCGAGCCCAGATTGTGCAATCCGAGTATAGACGGTTTACGTGTAAATGCCTTCATATCGTGTCTATCAGATTCCACAGATATTACCCACATGCATGTTGAACAGCTTCCCGTTTACATGTGCGCTTTCCCGTTGCGTTTGATCCCGACGTTATCATCGCCCTTGGGTGTTCTGTTCAGCGGGATTTCCAGAATAACCCCTCGGAACATAAGAATAATATTGGCAGGTGTAATATCGTCTGGGATTGCCGTATCTTGAGTTGGGGTGTACCAGGTCTGCTGGCTGTCATTGTCGCGAAGAGGTATGCTCACCTTTGTCATCGTACAGATAACCAATGTGATGGGCGAGCAGTAACTGAAGTTTGATACTCTACACAATTAAAAGAAATGACATCAAAAGGGATACCGTAGAGGATTATCATCCGGAGGCGAGGCGACTGCTTCCAACAATAAACGCCCCAGGTGGTGATGTTGATTCAAGACAGGTGTCTGAACAAGGATTGAGTTTCGTCACAAGTCATGGAAATGGCATAACACAATGGATTAAATACACACGGGATTCATATTTCTGGACTTGCAACAGGCTGATACTAAGGTCGAGTATCTGGAATTAGAAGAAGTAGCCTGGTTGAACCTGCCAGGCAATGAGCAAATGAGAACGCAGAAACAGGGGGCTCATGCCCAAATCTCACAATAGATATATGATTCTTTTGATATACAATAAATGTTTAGCCACAGTAACTAGGACTGTCGATTGCTTAACTGGGTCGGCAAACCATACATACACCTAAATTATGAGGTTGCCATGGCAGAGTAGACGCGTAGGTCTGTCTCTAGGTACGTACTTAAGTGTTGTTACCTGTTCATTCCATCAACAGCATGGTGCCTTAGAGAAGTGGTTTAACTCACTCCGTTCGGGACTTCTCCTAGCTTTCGGAGAGAACAGGGGTTCGAATCCCCTAGGTGCCCTGACCTTTTTCCCCTTTGCTTTTTCTTTTTGTCTTCATCTTCTCTCGATCCGTAACAAATCTATAGACAATACTACCCAATGATAACCAGCTAGGAACCAAGACTCTTCCCGAGAATGCTCTCCACATCTACCTAATCACGGAGAGCTTGAATTACATCTCTTTAATACCTTGGACCAGGACTACAGCTTAGAATTCGCGCACCTGTCACTGGCCGGTTTCATCCTCAGCATGTTCGCATCTTCAGCTACGGGACCCTTCACAAATTTAATTAGACCTCTTCACCTCCCCTGTCCAGTTTAGTTATTCGTATAATGCTTTGAATATGAATAGAGGTCAAGAAATAGCTAGGGAAAGAACAAGTTGTCAACTCAGAACATTCCCATCGAGAACCGGCCAGACTAGGTAGAGACAGACACCTTGAATCACCGTGATGAAGGTGTATTCTAGTTGCACACCCAACACATGCATAAGCTTATAATTCTGGAGATACAGGCATAGATAGGTATTGTCTGATGAACGAGTTGGATTAAGTAGTAGGTTGAGATTCCCTTGATCTGGCAGGTGCCTGAGTGGTTATCGTCAGGGCTACGAGCACAAAAGTCGCCCAACAAGACCCAGAGAATCCTGGCCTATGCTCCAGCACACGCCAGCGAGGTCTACACTCAACATTTCAGCGTACTGGGAGTAATTAACGCCTACCCATTGCTCTTGTGCAAATTCGTAGACACGCGCTAAAATTGGTAGTGAATAACGAGCCTTCTACCTGAGCAGTCGTATTACTACGCATTCGTCACGAGTACATATGGGTACAGAAACAATTGAACGCTTTCCGCAAGATCAGAGCGCATCCTGTCTAATACTGTTGATCATACGCTCGTTGCGAATGTGTTCACAGCTCGCTTTGCCTGGCGAAGAAGCTTGCTGCGTATTACCAGCAACAGAGACGCGGTCCCTTACCACCAATTTTGCGTCGCAAAGAAAGCTAGGTATGTCATGGTAACTGGTCTGTGTATTTATTGCTGCCAACCTTGGGAGTTGCATTGGCCATTTGCTCAAGTGATCGATGTACTTAACTTACCATTAATTACACATTGATTAGGTAAGCATAGGGGTTGATCTCACCCTGAGGTGGTGCTTCATCACCCAAACAGCTACCACTGTACAATGGCCACCGGACAATGTTACCTGTGATACCAAGGTACCGTGCGATATTTCCTTAGTCCCGCCAATCCCTTGTCGATTTTTGATAGCTGGATGGGTCCCGGTGGTGAAGAAAGCAGCGGAGGGCCCAACGCGGACTTCGGAAAACTGGCCGGAATTAGACGAGTATACAGCCGTTGACCTCCGCCAAGAAACACTGCAAGAAACACTGCTGCCGTAGCCCCTTATGAAGCACATGTTGAGCCTTGTGGTAAGCCCTGAGTAGACTCAATTATTAGACTCCCGGATTTATCTTGAAAAGCCGGTTGCCTCTCTATATTCCGGACTCTTCAAATATTCCTAATTCCTTTTGGTCTTGCATACTTGCACGAGACTCCTTGCTGTTTGCGTCACCCATCGTAGATATGGAAAACCTATAAAATCATCAAGATCTTCTCGCCACCCAAGATTTGATTACCGAGTAATTCATTTGAATCGAACTACCTGCTTTTCAAGTCCCCAAGATCCCAAATCCAAACACTCAGGTACAGCCTAGATTGTCAAACACATCATGGAACCTGCCTACCACGCGCTCATCGGTGCTGCCGCCGACATTCCGACAGCACCTCCAGCCCCTATTTCTGCCTTCACCCCCGTGGTACTTCCCTCTGAAGGTCGGCCGGTAGACCTTCAACTCCGCGTGACTGTGCCAGCGACCGGCGATGGCCTCCCAATAATCCTTCTCTCGCACGGTCATGGTATTAGCAATTGGCTTTCCTCGTCCAACGGCTACGCGCCGCTAGCCGAGTTCTGGGCTGCGCGCGGCTTTGCCGTCATTCAGCCTACTCACCTGAGCTCCAAGTTCCTGAGTCTCAAGTCGCCGGCAGGCCAGGAGCTTTTTTGGCCATCACGCGCAAAGGACATGATTCAAATCCTCGACCAGATTGACATTATTGAGGCAGCCGTCCCGGGACTCAAGGGGCGCCTGAACAAGTCCAAGGTGGCGGTGGCGGGCCACTCGTTGGGCTCCCTGACAGCCAATATGCTTCTGGGCCTAAAAAACACGGACCCGCGAGATGGGAGTGTCGTGTCCATGCCGGATAAGCGGATCAAAGCCGGGGTCATTCTAGGAGGTATTGGGAACGGGGGAGCTGACCTGTCCGAGTTTGGGCGCGGGACTCTCGTACCATTCTACGGCCCGGATTTCAGCAACATGCGTACCCCGGCCCTGGTGGTGTATGGCGACGAGGATGTGAGCCCGCACCTTACGACTCGCGGAGCTGACTGGCATGGAGACGCCTATACGCTTGCTCCCGGACCAAAAGACATGTTCATTCTCAAGGGGAGCGGGCATTTGCTTGGGGGGATCTCGGGCTGGGATGCAGCAGAGTGTACAGATGAGAGTCCGGAGAGGCTCGGGGCCGTGCAGAAGATGACCTGGGCGTATCTACGAAGCCAGTTCTACGAGGGAGATACAGCATGGGACGAGGCATGCAAGGCTCTGAAGGGAATTGGAAAGCTGGGTACGGTTGAGAGTAAGACCGAGTAAAAACTTGGACGAGTTGGACAGTTCCTGTGTATGCAGCAGAGGAATCAGAAACTCTTGTTATCGAGATACATACATACCTAGAAAGAAGTTAGAGAAGAATCGCCACTTTCCAATATACAGAGCCCTCCACTCACGACTTTGATGGTGTTATTCATTCTTATGCGCCTCGAATGTAGAATGTAATATGTATGCATTATCTGAACTGTTGGAGACTTATAGACGAGTCCGATAAAGGCTATGGTGTCCGTGATAAGTCGGTAACATGATCGAGAATATCGATTGTGAAAGCAAGTCTGTCTGTCGGGATGTGGTGAAGGAGGGGCGAAAGCTGAGAAAAGGGGGAAGTTTTTAGTGGGTTCCATCTACGAAGTAGAACAGGTGCCAAGACTCCCTTAAATCCGGATCCTGGTCGAGGTACGAAGTACTGACCTCCGTACCTGATTTGAAGAAAGCGCCGGACGCCGATCTCAAAATTTTGGAGGTCAACGTGAAGAAGTTCAATCAACGAATTGAACACTGCACAGTCAGTCAACAACATCGAACGTCCAAGCCAGCCCGTCTACAGACAGTCTCCGATTACCACATGCGCCAGCCATGAGCCGATAGTACCAAAGACATTGCAGAGAAACCAAGCGAAGGAAAAAAAGAAAAAAAGAAAAGAAAAAGAAAACACATTATCATCTTCAATACCATGGCTTCTGAAGTCGCAGCGATGGCAACTGCCGCCGTGCAGAGGGCAGCGAAAGAGATGCACGGCATTGTCGTATCGGCGGGAAAGATGGACAAGACAGTCAAGGTCAAGCTAGGAGGTCAGAGATGGGAACAGAGGGTGCAAAAGGTGAGTTCCCAATTCAGAATTCTCTATCCTAACGGTCTGGTCTGGTCTGGTCCATCGTTAAACAACACCACCACTCCCACTATTCTTCCCTTTCTTTCCACACATCCAAGTCAAGCATGTCTCCTGTCCCGTCCTCTATACCAAGAATAATCGGGGCTGCTGACACCATGACCTCTTCTTCAACAGTACTTCAAAGCCCCCCGATACCACCTCGTCCACGACCCGCGGAACTCGGTCCGGCAGGGCGACGTGGTGGCCATCTCGCCGAGCTGGCGGGAGTCGCAGCACGTCCGCCACGTGGTGAAGCACATCATCGCGCCGTACGGGGAGCCCATCGAGGAGCGCCCGCCCGTGCCGACGCTGGAGGAGCGCGTGGCCGAGCGCGCCGCCAAGCGCGCCCGCAAGGACGAGCGCAGGGACCTGATCAAGCTCGGCCAGCGCACCGAGAGGGCCATCGAGAAGGCCCAGAAGCACCTCCGCCACATACAGAGGTCCCTGGGTCCGCAGTATGCCTCCCTGCGAGCGGCAGCGGCGAATGCGGCGGGCCAGTCGACAACAACAACATCAACATCAACAACAAAAGGAACGACAAAAGCACCAAATACTGCCACAAGTCTGGATGATGTGGATTAAAGCAGAGATAACAACAGGCCTCTTCGTGAGCAGGAGGGCAAAGCTCAACAGGGGGGAAAGAAAACAAACATCCATCAGCTCACTCATCACACTCATCAAGTCCTCGTCTTATTGATGGAGCTTCCACAGCATCCAGGTAGCTTTGCTTGTGGACTCAAGTGTATATATATATCACTGATGTATAATATATTGTACAACCGCATCCTGAACCCACATTGGCTATTTTGTGGCTACTCCTCTACGGCTGCTGGTAATCGCCCATTTCTGATGATTTTATAGCATATCTTGTTGTATACCACTAATTTTCACCAATCTACCATCCCGCCAGGTTTGGTCTCTTGATGTGTGGCTGTCAAGGCCTTTTGAACATAGCGTCTTATTTGTTCGATGACCCCTAACGGAGACAGTTGGATATGTCGCCTATCATCCACCCCGCTCACCGTATTGCCTGGCCCAGTCTTCATACTCCTTCAGCCCTTCCTTGCCCACACTGGGTCGTATGGTTCGAAGGCTAGCTTGAAAATCCACGAGCTCGATGGGCCGTATCTGATCCATCGTCATATGGAGCAAAGCGTCACCCAGAGATCGAAGGGGTCCCATTGCTGCATCCTTGGCTAGCGCCGTGATATCGGAACCAGAGAAGCCTGCAAACAAGTTCATTAGAAAAGTGCCCCTCCATGGCTGATTGATTTAACAGAGATTTGCGCCTACCATCTGTCATTTTCACCAGCTCGGCAATGTCAGTATCCGTGAGACTATGCTTTTGTTGACCGAGCAGGGTTTTCAGTTGTACGGCCCTGGTCTCTGATTCCGGTAGAGGGATATACTGTCTCCTCAC